CTTGCCATCAGCTGCAGCTCCAATCTCAATGACTGCACGAGGCTTGCTGATCTGTCCATCTGGGCAGAACCAGGAGAGCTTCCAGACAAAGTCCATCAATGCAGCACCAGAGCAGGTGTCAGCAGCATAGGCGTATGATGATTCAGGCAGGCTGGTGGGAGGCGGATTTTGTCTTGCAGGCATTGCAAACACAGGCTGAATCTCCGGGACCATTGCCAATGAGCGCTTTCGCTTCGACGTTGACAGCGTAGGCAGAGAGATGGAAGTCGCTTCACTTGCTACCGATTCATCCTGCAGAGACGGCTGTACAACGATACCATTTGTACAGTGCGTAGTCGCAAGTCCGCTCAGTGTTTCCTCGCAAAGGTCATTGTTATCCCACACGAAATGGTACGGCTTGCGAGTGTCGATGGCGGCAGGCAAGAAAGACTGATCGTGCTGATGGCGTGTAAAAGACTCTGCCAAGGAAGTCTCCAGCTCCAGTACCTGGCTGTAGCTACAGCAATAGCCAAGACGATTCAACATGGTAACTATCTGCTTACTGCGGCACAGGTGATGGATTGCCATGCCCAGCACAATGTGTTTCGGAGTGCGGTAACCAGTGCCGCAAAACATAAGATCCTGGCAGATGGCATGGATGCGGCGTTGCAGAACACTTTCAAGAGACGGCAAGCGGCACGTCGAGAATTCGGCATCCTTGTCCAGGGTCCATGCAAGAAAATTAAAGAGCTTGTCAGGAATCAATCGCGCGCTATCCTCAGGAGACAGCTGTGCACCGCTCAGGTCTTGCTTGGTGGACTTGACATGGTGCTCGATGGATTGGCGGAGGATGTTTGCTGCATGATATAAGACTCTCCATTCCTCACACTCATTGGTCCAGACATGCCTACTCTCCACTTTCGCAGACTCATCCTCAGACTCATCCTCAGACTCATCCCCAGACTCACTGCAATAAGGGTCGGCGGGCACTAGGGGTTCATCTTCTGCAACTTCCTCCTTCAGCAGTGCAAATTGTCTGATCAAGTTGTCAGTCGAGCTAACAGCATATAACAATTCAGGGGCGTTGCAGCGAGCTGGCCTGACAAACCTAACAACGCCATCAAACTCTTTCAAAATGATGCTCTTCAGTTTTCGATTTCTGACCTGAGTGCAGAAGTTGCCACTTTCCTTGTTACAGCAGGTCTGGAAGATGGACTGGAGATCAGCAGAGGTCAGCAGTGCAGAATTGTCAAACAATTCTTGACGCACGACCTCAAGAAACTGGGCAACCACTTGTTCCTCCGAAGCAGCCTGTCCACCAATTCCCTGAGGGTCGTCACCAGGATCATCGACCTCCAATAGTCTTGTGTACTCTCGGAAGCAGTGCCGATGGTAGTGAACTTCACGTGCTATGAGGCAAGACAGAGAACGAATAGCTATTACAATAGCCTCGTCTTTCCGCAACTTTCTGGGCAGCGTTGTGTGACTGGCACTGCGAAGTTTTCTGATACTTGTGCTTCTTTCCCAGCTGAAATTTCTGACAGAATATGCACTCCTTTCGCCCTGGCTCTACAACTGGTACAGATAGACTTTGCCGAGTTGTCCGCTGGGGACAGTCTGCCTGTGACATCGACTTTCCAGAACCTCACCACCCGAAAACAAACTACTTACTAGTATGCGTGAGAGTACAAAAAGGCAAAAACGGAGAAGAAGCGCAGTAGTACTAGTAGTACGTGAATCGACACATCCGAGTTCACTTTTGAAACTTGACACTCCACGTGGACCGCGCTGAGCACGTGAGGTGCGAGACTAGACTCTGTACGCGTGTTTCGCGCAGCGCAGACTATGCTCAGTTCGCCGTACAATGGACGGGACAGTCCCGGGAGGAAAACTTACCGTTGCGTGACTGCTCGCGCGGAGAAGAAACTCAGCGCAAGCGACAAGCGGCAATGGCTGATCAGGTGCGAGAAAAGTAACTCGATGGAGGCCTTCCATTCGCATTTTGAAGCAATTTTTCGTGGATTCCGTGTCAGGAAGCCCACTGCTTTCATTATCTGCAGTCAAATTGTTGTGCGGACGAAGTGGAAACGAAAGTTTTTTTCAGCCACTTTTTTGATGCCTGGCCCCCGTACTACTATGTGTGCCCCACGCATGTGCATGTGACGTCATGCGTGGATTGGGTTTTGGCTCCTTGCTGGCATTTCAGGCTTTCGTTACTCAGTATGTTCTTTACGCTTCTGTTCTGGCAACTGGTGTCTTTGGTCATTGCTCTGTTCTGTTCTTACTACTCCCTGCTATTACTCTAAGTGCTGTTCACACGGCTGTAGCATTGTTGCTATTATTCTAAGTGTCATTCACATGGCTGTAGCATTGTTGCTATTACTCTAAGTGTCATTCACACGGCTGTAACATTGTTGCTATTACTCTAAGTGTCATCCACACGGCTGTAGCATTGTTGCTATTACTCTAAGTGCCATTCACACGGCTGTAGCACTGTTGCTATTACTCTAAGTGTCATTCACACGGCTGTAGAATTGTTGCTATTACTCTAAGTGTCATTCACACGGCTGTAGAATTGTTGCTATTACTCTAAGTGCCATTCACACGGCTGCAGCATTGTTGCTATCACTCTAAGTGTCATTCACACGGCTGTAGCATTGTTGCTATTACTCTAAGTGTCATTCACACGGCTGTAACATTGTTGCTATTACTCTAAGTGTCATTCACACGGCTGTAACATTGTTGCTATTACTCTAAGTGTCATTCACACGGCTGTAGCATTGTTGCTATTACTCTAAGTGCCATTCACACGGCTGCAGCATTGTTGCTATCACTCTAAGTGTCATTCACACGGCTGTAGCATTGTTGCTATCACTCTAAGTGTCATTCACACGGCTGAAGCATTGTTGCTATTACTCTACGTGCCATTATCACGGCTGTAACATTGTTGCTATTACTCTAAGTGTCATTCAAACAACTGTAACATTGTTGCTATTACTCTAAGTGCCATTCACACGGCTGTAATATTGTTGCTATTACTCTAAATGCCATTCACACGGCTGTAACATTGATGCTATCACTCTAAGCGCCATTCACACGGCTGTAACATTGTTGCTATTATTCTAAGTGCCATTCACACGCCTGTAGCGTTGCTCCTATTACTCTAAGTGCCATTCACACGGCTGTAGCATTGTTGCTATCACTCTACGTGTCATTCACACGGCTGTAGCATTGTGGCTATTACTCTAAGTGTCATTCACACGGCTGTAACATTGTTGCTATCACTCTAAGTGTCATTCACACGGCTGTAGCATTGTTGCTATTACTCTAAGTGTCATTCACACGGCTGTAACATTGTTGCTATTACTCTAAGCGCCATTCACACGGCTGTAGCATTGTTGCTATTACTCTAAATGCCATTCACACGGCTGTAACATTGTTGCTATTACTCTAAGTGTCGTTCACACGGCTGTAGCATTGTTGCTATTACTCTAAGTGCCATTCACACGGCTGTAACATTGATGCTATTACTCTAAGTGTAATTCACACGGCTGTAACATTGTTGCTATTACTCTAAGTGCCATTCACACGGCTGTAACATTGTTGCTATTACTCTAAGTGCCAATCACACGGCTGTAACATTGTTGCTATTACTCTAAGTGCCATTCAAACGACTGTAACATTGTTGCTATTATTCTAAGTGCCATTCACACGCCTGTAGCGTTGCTCCTATTACTCTAAGTGCCATTCCCACGGCTGTAGCATTGTTGCTATCACTCTAAGTGTCATTCACACGGCTGTAGCATTGTGGCTATTACTCTAAGTGTCATTCACACGGCTGTAGCATTGTTGCTATTACTCAAAGTGTCATTCACACGGCTGCAGCATTGTGGCTATTACTCTAAGTGTCATTCACACGGCTGTAGCATTGTTGCTATTACTCTAAGCGCCATTCACACGGCTGTAGCATTGTTGCTATTACTCTAAATGCCATTCACACGGCTGTAACATTGTTGCTATTACTCTAAGTGTCGTTCACACGGCTGTAGCATTGTTGCTATTACTCTAAGCGCCATTCACACGGCTGTAGCATTGTTGCTATTACTCTAAATGCCATTCACACGGCTGTAACATTGTTGCTATTACTCTAAGTGTCGTTCACACGGCTGTAGCATTGTTGCTATTACTCTAAGTGCCATTCACAGGGCTGTAACATTGTTGCTATTATTCTAAGTGTCATTCACACAGCTGTAACATTGTTGCTATTACTCTAAGTGGCGTTCAAACGAATGTAACATTGTTGCTATTACTCTAAGCGCCATTCACACGGCTGTAGCATTGTTGCTATTACTCTAAATGCCATTCACAGGGCTGTAACATTGATGCTATTACTGTAAGTGCCATTCACACGGCTGTAACATTGTTGCTATTACTCTAAGTGCCAATCACACGGCTGTAACATTGTTGCTTTTACTCTAAGTGCCAATCACATGGCTGTAACATTGTTGCTATTACTCTAAGTGCCATTCAAACGACTGTAACATTGTTGCTATTATTCTAAGTGCCATTCACACGCCTGTAGCGTTGCTCCTATTACTCTAAGTGCCATTCACACGGCTGTAGCATTGTGGCTATTACTCTACGTGTCATTCACACGGCTGTAGCATTGTTGCTATCACTCTAAGTGTCATTCACACGGCTGTAGCATTGTTGCTATTACTCTAAGTGTCATTCACACGGCTGTAGCATTGTTGCTATTACTCTAAGTGTCATTCACGCGGCTGTAGCATTGTTGCTATTACTCTAAGTGTCATTCACACGGCTGTAGCATTGTTGCTATTACTCCAAGTGTCATTCACACGGCTGTAGCATTGTTGCTATTACTCCAAGTGTCATTCACACGGCTGTAGCATTGTTGGTTATAGCTTAGACTGGTCATGTAACACACAGCACTACGCAATATCGTTATAACTAAGAGTTTCATGGCCATACTCCATAGGCAATCATCAGACAACTATCAATACTCCATCTCTTCAGATCAAACAAGAAGGGTATGCAGCAGCAGTTATAAAAAAACGAGTTTTGAAACATTTCTAAAATAAAGATACTAACAGAAAACACCACGAAAGATGATAGAAAGAAAACAGTACCTCGGACAATGTGCTCATTCTTCATTGTATCCAAAAGTGACATAAAAAAACTTTTTGATGTATTGCGATACTAAGCAGCGAGACATTTCGCTGAAATGCAATAGATTTTCAGAGAAAGGAAAAAGAGCACGCAGCTAACACAATCAATAGAATCATCCTCTGCACATCGAGAATAGGATTGTAACAATGAGAGTGATCCAAGTACCATGTATATATACAACTCAGGGCAGGAGTTTATAAGCAAATGCATGCATACACACACGCATACACAAACACACATACACACACACACACACACACACACACAAACAAATGCACACACAAACACATACACACATATGCAAGCACACATTCAATCATGCAAGCATGATAAACAGTAATTGGCAATGTTCATCAGTTCATCATCTTAATCAGACATGTTGGAACTGCTCCAGTCGGTCAGGACTTGGCTGGATCTACTGTTCGCCTGCCCAATGCATGTTAGCTACTGGGTAGGTTATGCATACTCGATGTGTCACACAACCAAAACTGAAATACTATAGTAAAGCCTGAGCAAACAAAACTGCTAATACTGGTCCTGTTCTTGTTTCACAGCAGTGAGAAACATTAGTGTAGAACAAGAAACAAGATGCTCCAGGACAACAGTTAGAACATTGTGATACGGTGTTTGCTAGTGTCACTAACATACACAGTACCACTGGGTGATACTGCAATGCCGTACGGACGAGAAAGACAACTGCTTGCACCGAAGGTAGCAACGTGAGAGAATGTGTCAGAAGCGAACACCTAACAGGGTATCACAATGGAAACACACACACACACACACACACACACACACACACACACACACACACACACAAACACACACACACACGCACACACCCCGGCGTACACACAACACACACACACATACATACCGGTATACACACACACACAAACACACCCACCACATACATACAAAGTCATATACTTCTGAAGTATACATACATTACAATAGAATATAATATACCCATCCAGAGATGATAGAATATAATATACCCATCCAGAGATGATAGAATATAATATGCCCATCCAGAGATGATAGAAGGTCCCGAAGGGACCAACAGTGTTCAAGTCACGAGCAGAATCGGGTTTGGCACACAAGAACGCGAACGTGCCCCAACACACACACATACACACATACACACATAAAAACACGCACCATGCACACACATGCACTCATGCACACTCACACACATACCGTATTTTGCAGATCACACTGGGGTATAAATCACACTGGGGTATAACCCAAATTCTTTTCCACAAAATGCAGCCATCAACCTTAGTAATTTATTACTGATCATTGGAGTATAAGCTGCAACCCACATTTTTGAGTGTATTTTGAGCGCTGGAAGTGCGGCTTATACATGTACTCAGGAAAATACGGTATACACACAATGAGACAAATTTTATCATTAACCCACATGCATGCACGCATACACACAATAAAACTTAAACAACCAAAACATCAATATGCACATTTATCCAGACACGCTCTCACATACACACGCACGCATGTGCGTGCCAAACGTACGAAACGTGGACACGTGTACACCAAGCAGATGGAATACAAGGAAGTGGGGTTTGCCATAGTTTTTTTTTTTTTTTCTCAATTTTGTCTGATAAATATTTACGAGACTTTGCATCGAGCGACACCGTGGATAACATTGAGCCAAGAATTATGCAATAAACCAGAAGAGATATCTCTTCACAAGTAGGCAAATAAATGCGTAGGTGCCCGGCAACAGCAATCGGGCGAGTCACAGCAATGTACGTATTGCAACTTCAATGATACACATACACGGTTGACCACCCATGCGTCCATTTTCGGCGGGTCAACCACATGGTGGCCCGGCAACTTCAAACGGGAACACACCGATACAACATACACAGTTGACCACCCATGCATCCATTATCGGCGGGTCAACCACATGGTGGCCCGGCAACTTCAAACGGGAACACACCGATACAATAGACACAGTTGACCACCCATGCCTCCATTATCGGCGGGTCAACCACATGGTGGCCCGGCAACTTCAAACGGGAACACACCGATACAATATACACGGTTGACCACCCATGCCTCCATTTTCGGCGGGTCAACCACATGGTGGCCCGGCAACTTCAAACGGGAACACACCGATACAACATACACAGTTGACCACCCATGCATCCATTATCGGCGGGTCAACCACATGGTGGCCCGGCAACTTCAAACGGGAACACACCGATACAATAGACACAGTTGACCACCCATGCCTCCATTATCGGCGGGTCAACCACATGGTGGCCCGGCAACTTCAAACGGGAACACACCGATACAATAGACACAGTTGACCACCCATGCCTCCATTATCGGCGGGTCAACCACATGGTGGCCCGGCAACTTCAAACGGGAACACACCGATACAACATACACAGTTGACCACCCATGCCTCAAACCGGCGGGTCAACCACACAACAACATACAGGTGTCACAACACTGAGACAGTACAGCACAACACTGAGAGGCAAATGCATTTGACCCTCCTTGGGGCCTCGTCATGTGGCACAAGATACCGACGTGTCATGTCTAAAGGGAGGGAGGGAGGGGAGAAAACACAGCCTTGAGTCACTTTGGCTAACTGGATGACAGAAATTGTTGACAAGGAAGTTGCTTTGCTGACACGAGGCAGGGCAAAGCGGCCACGCAAGATTTATTTTTTCATCCACCATTTTCGGAAAAAATATTTTTATTCATGTGCCGCGTGACGAACCGTGACAAAACACGTGCATGCGTGGGCTAACTTGGCTTTGCTGCTCAAAGCCGTCATTTAACCCACATGCATGCACGCATACACACAATAAAACTTAAACAACCAAAACATCAATATGCACATTTATCCAGACACGCTCTCACATACACACGCACGCATGTGCGTGCCAAACGTACGAAACGTGGACACGTGTACACCAAGCAGATGGAATACAAGGAAGTGGGGTTTGCCATAGTTTTTTTTTTTTTTCTCAATTTTGTCTGATAAATATTTACGAGACTTTGCATCGAGCGACACCGTGGATAACATTGAGCCAAGAATTATGCAATAAACCAGAAGAGATATCTCTTCACAAGTAGGCAAATAAATGCGTAGGTGCCCGGCAACAGCAATCGGGCGAGTCACAGCAATGTACGTATTGCAACTTCAATGATACACATACACGGTTGACCACCCATGCGTCCATTTTCGGCGGGTCAACCACATGGTGGCCCGGCAACTTCAAACGGGAACACACCGATACAACATACACAGTTGACCACCCATGCATCCATTATCGGCGGGTCAACCACATGGTGGCCCGGCAACTTCAAACGGGAACACACCGATACAATAGACACAGTTGACCACCCATGCCTCCATTATCGGCGGGTCAACCACATGGTGGCCCGGCAACTTCAAACGGGAACACACCGATACAATATACACGGTTGACCACCCATGCCTCCATTTTCGGCGGGTCAACCACATGGTGGCCCGGCAACTTCAAACGGGAACACACCGATACAACATACACAGTTGACCACCCATGCATCCATTATCGGCGGGTCAACCACATGGTGGCCCGGCAACTTCAAACGGGAACACACCGATACAATAGACACAGTTGACCACCCATGCCTCCATTATCGGCGGGTCAACCACATGGTGGCCCGGCAACTTCAAACGGGAACACACCGATACAATAGACACAGTTGACCACCCATGCCTCCATTATCGGCGGGTCAACCACATGGTGGCCCGGCAACTTCAAACGGGAACACACCGATACAACATACACAGTTGACCACCCATGCCTCAAACCGGCGGGTCAACCACACAACAACATACAGGTGTCACAACACTGAGACAGTACAGCACAACACTGAGAGGCAAATGCATTTGACCCTCCCAAAAACCAGTGTTTACGACCAAGCATTTCTCACGGCATCGCTCATTAGCATAACTTCCTGCAAGTAACCATGGCAAACCCCTAAGTGATACCCACAGAGCCACACCGGCACAAGGACTGCACAACAAGCGGAAGGCACAACACTGTACAACACTACAAATGTACCTCACTTCTGTTCTCAACACCACATGGGCGTGGGCTGTTCCAGTCTTTGCTGCTAGCCATTGCACAGAGGGTATACCGGCTGCACGCCTGACATAGTGATCGGATGCTGCACTTCGCCAGCAGCCTGCACGGCATATGGCTGCTTCACAGACACTTGTACTCCGGTGAGCGATGAGTGTGGCCCCGCCAATGCGCACAGAATGGGAGCTCACCCGGTTGCAGTTGAGGATCCTAGTCGAGAAAACTCGGGAGAAGTAGCCGCCGTCGACGAACACAAACACTGGCCGTGAGCTGCCGGCAGTAGCGGTCAGGGACTGGAACTCGGCCATAGCCGAAACTGGGTACATCAGATTATGTGTGCGCAAATACCGGGCTTAAAGGTCTGAGTCGCTCATGAGATCATTGCTGGCAGCAATCAGAGCGGCGAGTTCAGCGGAGGAGTTGGCACCAGGCACTGGTTGGCTGTGGAAGCCAGTTCTCGGAAGCGAGTAATCACAATAGGTTCATGCTGCATCTCAGCGGCCCGTTGCCCCAAAAACGATTGTCCTTGATAGAAACCGCAGAAGCAAACATCAGAGGCATCCGTGAATAGCTCAAGGTCAGGGGACTTTGAAAACTCGACATCGTAGAAGAAGGATTGGCCATTCCAGTTTGCGGCAAAGGAGCGCAACCATTCGATGTCCAAGTGAGCTTTTGTGTTGATGTTGAATACTGACTGAAGAGACTGAGAGAGTTGTCCAGCTAAGATACAGGAGTTGACGGATGAAGGTCCTGCCAGGAGGAACCACCTTTGCGGCAAGGACAAGGTTCCGATCAGAGACAGCAGTTCCCGCGTTGTGTAGCTAGTGCGCGTGGGCTACTCACTCAAAGCCGCTAGAAAGGCAAATAACTTCTTGTCAGGTAGCCACATCACCTGGTCGTCGCTGTCGACTTCTATGCCAAGTACCGTCACCACTGTTGCTGGGCCGACCACCTTGCTGAGGTTGTCGAAGACCTGCGGAACCGTTGCTTTCAGTTGAACTCATTCCATTGACCATCAAGCACACGAACATAAGCACCTTGTTAAGTGCAGCGTACTGGTTCTTGTGCTGGCCTGCACAGCTATCAGGAATAGTTTTACCCAGAATGACTGGGTTGATGATTTCTCCCTGAGAGAGGGTAATGCCACGTGCACAGCAGATGTGGTGCATAACGAACGCACAGTGGGCATAAAATCTTCATATCCACATCAAAGGCCACAAGCGTTTGACAACCACACCTGATACGTAGATGATCAACGATCGTCCCTGCACTCAACGTCGCTCCAGCAGTAGTAGCATGTTGCAAACCACCATCGTACGTTTGTCCATGTAAATGCCTCTGCTCCTTGTCTACTTCTTTGGCTAGATTTTTTGACAGGTAATCACAGCCATTTCTGAGTTGGCGTCAACGCCACTCGCCATGTCGAGGCCTAAATAACTGGTCCTCTGCTTCGAGTAGTTCTTGCTTGGCCTCATGAACTCCAGGAAATTCACTACTGCGACCATGAGCTACTCTATCTGCCCACGCAACAAATAAATATTTCAACCAAGCGCGATCGATTGCTGTTTGAAGTTGTGAATTTTCAAGCGCTTCCAGCTCACACGAGTCAGCGCTTGTCTACGCAGACTAGCACAACTAATACTCTTGTACAGCTTGGCGGAGAGACAAAGGAGAAAACGGAGAAAACACAGCCTTGAGTCACTTTGGCTAACTGGATGACAGAAATTGTTGACAAGGAAGTTGCTTTGCTGACACGAGGCAGGGCAAAGCGGCCACGCAAGATTTATTTTTTCATCCACCATTTTCGGAAAAAATATTTTTATTCATGTGCCGCGTGACGAACCGTGACAAAACACGTGCATGCGTGGGCTAACTTGGCTTTGCTGCTCAAAGCCGTCATGTAAACTTTCTTGCTTTTCCAGAGTCAATCTTGATGATGCCCAGGGCCGAAATATTTTTTATATTCTTTATTGCAGTTCAGAGACCGTATGTGTGTGTGTGTGTGTGTGTGTGTGTGTGTATGTGTGCGTGTGTGTGTGTTTGAGCAATCCTTCATTTTCTTGCAGGCCTAAAAATACAAACTTTATACCAAAGTATACGGTTTGGCCTCTTTTGTCTGTGCTGCACTGGCGAGTCCACTAGGCTGTGTTGACATGAGGCGTTTTAGCCAGGGTCAAGTTTTAACCCACCATGAACACAGATTGACTGAAGCGTTAATATGCAGCATTGCGCTTGATCCGGGTTGAAATTTCAAAGGGGGTGGATTTCAACCCTCCCCTCGGGGGACGGTTGAAATCTAGAAATCTTACTACCGCACTTCTGTGCGTATCTCGCGCCAAGTTTGAACAGCACGGCACAGGAACATTTTGCGCGAATGCTTTCACGTGACTATAATTATAGGACTCGAGAACTTAGTAGAAGTGGACTTTTGGCGGCATATCAGTATTGACGAGAGTCAACTGTCTTGATGTGAACACCCACTTATTTGTTCTCTTGTACAGACTTTCAACCCGGGTTGAAAATTCTCATGTAAAACAAGCCTACGGGCAAAACAATTCTGCCCGCAGATTGAGTATCGGATTTTCTGGGGTGTTTCGCACTTTGAAATGCATACAAAAACTGAAAAATCACCCCTGCAGCTAAGGCTGGGATAGCTAGGGATGACTACCAGCGCTACAGCACTCTATGAATATACTGCATGCATGGTGTTGTTCAGCTACTCTTCATGTACTGCAGCCCATCATTATACTGGTGCAAAGCTTCTTATTGTACATGTTGCCAGTTCTGAGTGAACGGCAAAGTAGACAACCTTTGTAGAACTTCGGTCATGTTTCTCAACCTTTTAACCATTTTATGGTTTATTCTGATAACCATCTTAAAGTTAGGTTGCCAAAACATTCAAAATCTGACGGGCGGGTGGCTTATACAGCAGATGGCAATACAAAATACAGATGGTGGACCTGGAACGGCGGGTGCGGCTTAGACTCCCGTGAGCCCAACACACCGTAATATTCGGCATTTTGCTCCTGCTCTTGTACTGCCGTACGATCGTGGACATGGAAATCCGGTCACACGTCTAGCGGCCCCAGGGCGCTGGCCATTCAGCCGTGGATAAGCAGTACACACATGCATTACATGTACATGTACATGTTGATGTATATGCACTGCAGTGCACTGGTCACTGCAGTGCACTGGTCACTGCAGTGACCAGTGCACTGCAGTGACCAGTGCACTGCAGTGACCAGTGCACTGCAGTGACCAGTGCACTGCAGTGACCAGTGTACTGCAGTGCACTGGTCACTGCAGTGCACTGGTCACTGCAGTGCACTGGTCACATCAGATCAACATGACTGTAGTACACAACGTTCTGTACGCACTGAGGACGCCGGCCCAGGTCAATCCACTGGGTTTCCATGTCCAGAACTGTAGTAGGTGAGCAATTTCGTGCGGGATAGTGCCTTTGCTGTTTGCCTGCGTTATGCACAGCTCACTGACGTGTCAATTTGAGCACTTTTGCAACGTGCTTTTGGACCTTATTTAAATCTGGCTTTGGAAAATATTTTTTCATTGCTACATATATCAGGTTCGCCCACATTTTCCCTTTGCTGCGCTGACGAGTCCACAAAGGACCACAGAGTATGCTGTCTACAGATTGAGGTTATCCGAATACTAGTATACTAGAGTAACCAGCTCACTATGAACTTGGAATGGAGGAACTGTCAACGCCATTATTTCCCTTGGGTGACAGTTTTCAGGATTTGAAATGAAGGTGCCCACAGTTGTCGCAAAGTACCCTGTGATGCCACGCCGGACTAGATCTCCACTTGTACATTCATCGTCAAAACTTAGTCAAGCCTGTGTCCTGGTCGATCGACATACACTTTAGCTGTTCCGATGTCGGGTGCACTAATGCCTTGTGAACTTGGACACCAGAGCTGCACACATGGGTATGTCGTGCAAAAGGAGAATGCCAAAAGGTAGAGAGCGAAAACAGCACCACGTCACCTTCGGTCGGCGATCACAAAACCAACCCGAGCCAAGAAGAACCGTAACCAGGTGAATTTAATTCTTCTGATAACGATGAATCCGCTAAAGACGCAGGTGACAAGCTCCCCTCATCTTTCCTTTCAGAGCCACATGTGCAGCACTGCAACCTTCGGTACAACAACATTTTTTTCTATCATCACAAGACAAGTCTAGGAATCTTTACGTGACAGTTCCTCTTAAAATTCAATGGCAAACTCCCACCAAAAATTCATTTGAATTAGATTTGCTCATGACAAGCAAGCTGGCACTGGGTTCAAGTTCTGGTGGGTCTGGCATTTTTCTCTCTTTTCAGGCAGCTTACTTCCCCGACCGATCTTTTGACTTTGAAGTTCTCCCGATCCTTTCAAAATGAATACGATTTAATCTTGCTTTTCACCCGTACAACCTGTGACATGTATGTCACTTTTTACGGAAAATTTACATTAATAATGATGTAGTTACAAGGCTGTGCTGGGCTTACAACCAATTTTCTTGCATTACAATTGCCGACGTTGCTACCACTGTTTCTTACTGATATTCCCAGTACAACTTTTTGACAAGCTGGTTTGGAGGTGACAGTGTTGTGAATGGTCGAGACTCCTCAAAGCCTGTTCTCACCTTCCAGGAGCAATACTGACTTACACTGCTATCTGGTGTTCACGAGGTGTTTGTCGTGCTGGAAAGGGAGTGTTTCTATAAATGTGCGCATCTGGTGATGGTCTGGATTGCAGAGGAGAGCTATATAGTGGTAGTCTTAAAAACAATCTTCTTCAGCCTACTCAAGCTCAACTAATGAGTATATAGACACGGTCCCTGATGGCATAGCTCACATCACGTGGTCCACAGCTACAGCAGCTATGTTGTCTATTCATGCAAATGCAACAGGGGTCATTGTGCACAAAGTCCAGGGTTTGCTGATTGGCTGAAGATGTTCTTCGCATTCCGCCAGATATTGCTTTCATTTCGCTGCTTTTTGTTCACTAAAATCTCCTGGATATGTACGAAGGGCGACAATAAAGTGTTCGACCTGGCCCAAAAGAAACCGTATATCACTGGTTTCTTGTTTCCAATTGTCACAATATCCACACTGCAAATGAATGTATTTCTCTCAGCAATGGCTCGAGTGTCATCAATCCACCTCAGTAGAAGGTTTTCATTTTGCCAGTCTAGCACATGGTGAGACTTCTCAATCTAAAATGGCCAAATGCATTGCAATTACAGCTTCACACTCTTGCAACAGGGTATGATGTATCTTGGCAACAGAAGTAGTGCTAGAAGCAAAAGGGTAAGACAAACTAATCACTAATCAGCTTACTTGAACACGGTTGTTGTAAAAATCAGTGACCAGGAAGTGTCCATGCCTATCCTCGGCAATGAACTGCGGGTTCTCGAACTGACCATCTGACTTTCCCCTTGATCCGAACATGGTAATGAAGTTTCCATCAGTAGTGAAAACCTGCATGAAAACGAAATGTATGAAAAACTCTACACTGTGATGACTATGTCCTTCAAGAGTTCAATACTGTGTACAGGTCCTCCCTCGTTACTACATAATCTATGGCAAGTTGGGACATAGAAAAAGTCTTATAACGAGACTTATCTTATTATTACACATCGACGCACACACACATACACACACGCACACACATACACACACACACACACGCATACACACACACACACACACATACACACACACACACATACACACACACATGCACACACACACACAGAACACACTCACACGCACACACACACACATACACACAAACACACACAAACACACACACACACACACACACACACACACAGGCACACACATGCACACATACAGTACTCACTGGATTAAAAACCGGGGCTTGTATTTTTTCAATACCAATTTTGACGAGGCTTATATTCAAGACGGGCTTCTAATCGAGAGGGTTTTATATTGTTTCATTCCATACCAGTATTCCAATCGAATCTCTAAAACTTTCATATTCACAGGAACTCGGCCCCGAGTTAGTTTGCACACACTACGTTGGCCAGGACATGTACCAATATGAACATACACGAGATGTTTTTTACGCAATTTACATACATGGCACTACCTGGTTACCCCACGCTTCGCGTATAGTAGTCTGGGCTTCGAGAGATGTTTTTAAACAGTGCTTGAAAGGGGGGGGGGCTATTATTCAAGAGGGGCTTTTATTCGAGAGGGTCTTCTAATCGAGTGAGTGCGGTACACACAGTCACACACTTACATACGTGTGTGAGCCCCCCCCCTTTACACACTGAGACTCCGACTCCGACATGTCCATCGTGGGAGCGATGATAGCGAACGGCTATGTTAGACATAACAACTTGTGCGGGCATTACACCATTCAGCAGGCTGCAAGGCTGATGAATTGACCGCCACTAAGCCTGGTCTACACCACACAGCTGATTGAAGTAGCTTTTTCTGTCCGGTGAACCCCTTTTTTGCTTTTTCATACACACACCACACCACATGTTCTGGCATGCACTGTATATTGGTAACCACCCAGGAGAATGAACGAAGACCTAGGTAAATGAGAAAGAGAAGAAAGACGTATGTGACCATAATCGTCAGGAATTGAACCCGGAATCTTGTAGTGACCTGACTCCTATTACGTCACTTCATACATAAGCATGCGCAAGAAATGAAATCATTCTCTTTGGCCTCAACTTCTTTGTTGTCCGGTTGGCCATTTAGCCGTCATCTAGGGCCCGACATAAAACCCCTAAATCGGTGACCCCGACGTGATTCGAACCCGCAACCTTCTGATACACAAGCATGCGCAAGAAATAAAATCACTCTCTTTGGCCTCAACTTCTTTGTTGTCCTGTTGGCCATTGTGGCCGTCTTCTAGGGGCCGACGTAAAACCCCTATATTGGTGATCCCGACATGCACTCTACGGAGTTTTTTTCCTGCCATCACCACCTCCACCGTCCGTACCAGCTCAACAGTGCACGCACGCAGGCATACGCACGGCTCACAGGACTAACAAGTGGGGCTGTACATGCCTCCATCAGTCCCCACCTCAACCGGCACACCTCGCCCCAATGCAGTGCTCCTGCTGGTACCCGCCAAGCCTGCAACATGCAGCCGCCTCTGACATGATAACACTCCTCTGTTACGCGTACGTTTCCTCTTTTCTTTCTTTCTGCCTCTGCCATGCTCTCCACCTCTTGCACGTTAACACACCTCTGACACGTTAACCCGCCTCTGTCATGCATCTCTCTGTTTTCCACTTCCTGCTCTTTGACTTTTGTTTCGGTCTTTGTTGCCACGTTGTCAACAAATTTCAAAAATACACATCGCTCTCTTGTGCATATTGTATTATATTTTTTATTGCCTTTCCGGCTTGTACATGCCACGCTTCCATTCTCTCTCTTTTTCTTGTTTATCGTGCTTCACTCCTCCCGACCTCACCCCTGGCAGGGGAGTACTGTAGCAACCCGACTCCTGTTACGTCACTTCTTATGTATGCATGCGCAAGAAATACAATCATTGTCTTTGGCCTCAACTTCTTTGTTGTCCGGTTGGCCATTTTAGCGGTCGTCTAGGTCCCGATGTAAAATCCCTAAAACGTCACGATTGGAAATTGTCTGCACATACCACTGCACCATATGGCACACGCACGCACGCATGCGCGTGCACACACACACACTCTCTCTCTCTCACACACAGCAGGGGCGTCGAAAGGTAATTTTGTGTGGTACGGTCAGCCATCTGAAGTACAATTTACTCATGGGGGAGGGTGGCCGAGCCAAAATTTTGGAAATTTAGAGCCCAAATCAGTGCATTATCTTGATCCACGGGTGCTTTGGGCAAATAGTGGTACGGTCAGTACCGTAGTGACCGTACCATGTGCGACACCCCTTCACACACACACACACACACACACACGCACACACACACACACACACACACACACAAACACACACACACACATACACACACATGTACACACACACACACCCACACACACGCATGCACGCACACACACGCACGCACACACACGCACGCACACACACGCACGCACACACACACACACACACACGCACACCTTTGACCTTTGACGCCCAACGCCGGACGCGATGGGCGTCAAAGATAGCAATGCTTGCCCATCGCCAGAGGCGATGATAGCAATGCTACGGCAGAAGCCATAGCAACCTCACACGCACACACACATACTCATACATGCCCATTGCGGAAGCTCTGATAGTGAACAGCTATGTTAGACATAGCAACTTGTGCTGGGATTACACCATTCAACAGCTTGCAAGGCTGATGAATTGACCCGAATTTGACCGCCACTAATTTTTGGCCTGGTATCCACCACACAGCTGTTTTTGAAGAGGCTTTTTCTGGCCAGTGAATCCCTATTTTTCATTTTTCTTTTTTCTTTTTCTCTTTTTAATTTTTTTGACACACACATCACACCACATAGTCGGGCATACACTGGCTGTTGGTAACCACCCAGGAGAATAAAAAAGAGGTAGGAGAATGAGAAAGAGAAGAAAGTCGTGTGCGACCATAATCGTCGGGAATTGAACCTGCAACCTCTCGATTGGAAATCGACTGCGCATACCACTGCACCATATGGGACACACATAATACACACACACACAAACAGACACACAGACAGACAGACACACATTAACTAACAAACGTCGCACGTCGCCCACACGTTGAGTGACATGTTCAATGACACGTTCAATGACACGTAGAGTGTACCGTCACTCGTGCATGCACAATGTTGTTTGGCCGACATAGTCACCGTGAAGTGCAGTGCACACGACCGTAGTCAGTAGCAAAGCATGAGCACACAGCAACAGCACTATCAAACATAGCAGCATAACTTGAGCAGTTGCACGAAGCTGCGTGCACCCATTAATCTGCATTATCACTTCCGCAGCAGGATTTTGGTGGAGCCAAGAGAGGAGTCAGAGAGGGTTCACTGCGGAGCAGGATCTTGGCAGAGCCAAGAGAGAGGTCACTGCTGTAGTAGGATTTGGGCTGAGCCAAGAGGATAGACAGGTCTGAGGGACGGGGACCGAAAAGTCCGTCATTGGCTAGGCATTATTTGTTTGTGTATTGAGACAGCATGTGATAAAGAGGATACTGAGAAGAGTTCAAGCAACACAGATGTGAACACAGCCAATGTCTCGCAGTAAGACAATTATCTTGATGAACTCCTTGCCGGTGTCCCGCATTCTACGCCGGAACATTACTCGTGCAGCAAAGGGAGCTTGCCCAAATAGAAGCACGAACTTTGCTGCAGGGATCGGCTTGACCTTGGCGTCAGGCCGCTCCGCAGCTGTGGGAGCAAAGGTTCTGAAGGCATCCAACTTGGTCTGGACAGAGCATCAGCCACCGGTATTGGAGTTGACTGGCAAGTATGATGCTCTAAACAGTAAGTGTTGCTGGACACAGATAAGTAGAGGGTGCGGACGAGTGCAATGACCACAGGAGAACTAAACGGTGTGTGCCCACCTTCAATATGTTGACAAAGTCTAGTGCCACCAGCTCAGGTCATCCTTGGCTGAGGCTGAGAGGTGCAGCATTCTGTGGGATGATATCTCAGTTGTGGCCTTGAAAAGGGCAGACAGGCAGTGTAGGGCAGATGGTGGGACGCAAATGTGAGTTGGCCTAGAAGGCAGGCGAGTTCATGCATGAGGACGCAACCCCTGCCGAGTGTGGCAGATACTAGATAACGTAGGGCCAGAAGGTTGAGCGTTATACTGGAAACCACATAGATAGTTGAACAAGAGTGGCCCAACCATATCTGCTGGCGGACGGAATTCATGCAACACGTCAACAGCTGGCTGTACAATCTGGTTGGGATGTCAGTGTCATCTGCAACAGTACTAACCCTCATCCAAACTGGAGCAGACTGCAACACCATGGGCATAGGCCAGCCTGTGACTTACTTGGGTAGTGCACCTCAATAGTGACAAGTACTAGTACTTGATTGATTGATGCACTCTGTGTGTGTGTGTGTGTGTATGTGTGTGTGTGTGCGTGTGCGTGTGCGTGTGCGTGTGTGGGTGTGTGGGTGTGTGGGTGGGTGTGTGTGTGTGTGTGTGTGTGTGTGTGTGTGTGTGTGTGTGTGTGTGTGTGTGTGAGGAGGGGGGAGGGGAGTTCCTTACCCACCAATGACAGGTAGACCGACTAGTAGTAGTACTACAGTCAACGTCGCTTATAACGACACTCGGCGGCGGGCCATCAAAAAAGTGTCCTTATTCGCGAAGTGTCCTTATACCCGAAGTCTCATTATATGTATTACAGTTGGAAGGGACTTTGCTCTGGGCATGGAAATGCTGTCCTTATTCGCGAATTGTCGTTATATCCGCAGTCGTTATTAGCGAAGTTCACCGTAGATTGATTGATGCCCGGGCTAGGGCTGTGCCTAGGTGCAGAGTAAAGATGGGATGACCACTGTGTGCAT